AGGCACTGATAAAACAGTGAGATGAGTGCAACGGCAAACCATTAATCACTGGAGAGGATCAACTCAGGACAGTGAAACATGACTAAAGGAGCTGTAGAGGAGGGAGAGGAGCAGACAGCCTTTACAGACTATGATGGACGACCAGAGCACCGGGTGGGTGGGACATAGTTGCCCCTGGCCTTAACTTCTAATGAATGAAACAACCTTGAAATCCCCAACATCCTGTAGCAGACAAGTGTATTTAAAAAATAAAATAAAATAAGGAAGCTCAAGTTAGCCAAACTCCAATCTGAGTCAGCCAATATTTGTTACAAATGTGTGTCCTATGCTCACCTTTTTGCCAACTGTCTCTCCTGCTTTTCAGTTAGCCGATTAAAATGTTGCGATTAACAGTGAACTGGCATAGAGAAGTGTCAAACTAATCAAGAACGTCAGTAATGTTATTGGTAAAATATTTCAGAAACTTGTTTCCACAGGACTGGCATTTGGAGGGCCATTTTTATTGATTTTAAAAGTATTCTGGGATTATGACATGTGACGAGCTGCAAAAGATAGGTTTCCCTCACTTCCTTGAATTTAGCTGGTAAGACAACATCAGGTTCTTCCAAGTACTGAGGGAAGCATTTAATTTATTCTTTTCTCCACTTCCTCTCAGCCTTTCTGCGTTTCCTCTTTAAAATTCCTAATTCCTCAGTTAATGAGGGAAGAGCCGTAGCTTAAAATTTTTCAAACCTGACTGGAGATATAGACTCCAAAGGACTTGAGGTTCGCCTGCTCAACCAGTAAGCTGTTATTTTATTTTATCTCTGTTTAACTCCTCCCTCTTTGTTTTTGTATGTTTTCTGTGCTATACACAGGTTTTACCTGGCCAGTCAGCTATCCATCTAAGAAAACAACACTATCCACAACTGACTTGAAGCGGACATTTGCCCCAGTCTCATTTTAAAAGTTCAGTCACTTCTGAGCAGCTACCATCCAATTAGGTTGCTGATGAGGCGGTCCGAGTTATGAACGTTGTTCTGACATCAACCATAGTCCAACTCCACCACTTCAGACTGCAGCTAGAATTGGTAGTCGCCTTCTGCTGTGAGAGCCGCTGCGAGCTCTAACCAGAACCTGCAGCAAGTGGAGAAATGAATCACATGCCAATATGCCAAGATCACCAAGGCCCAGAGCAGAGCATAGATTCTTGTGTGTGGCCAGCTGTAGTTAAAAACAGAGTTGGAGTCCATCAGGAGTCATCAGCAGAAGCTGAGATTCCCTGGAAAAGCAAGTACAAAAGCTGAGGCTGAGTGACAGACTGTTAAGGGAACTGTAATTGATATAAACAATTCATCCATATGAAGGACTCTCAAAAATCACACTCGTATCAAGAGGGGAGTGATGGTGGAAACTACTAAATCTGCCATCCTGTTAAGAATACTACTCACATGTGTTTTCAATACCTGGTATATGTTATGCCTCCTTGGCCTTCTCCTTTGCCATCATTATATAAATAATGAAGTTCATTTTCAGTCAACACGTCAGGATTTTTTTAAAAATTTTTTTTACAGCTCTGTAACAATAATTAAGTTGTGGAAGTTTTATGTATATACTGATGTATTTAAAAAAAAAGACAGTGGAACATATTATTTAGACATGTCCTGAATGATATTATGACGACTTCTGCTACTTCACATTCACAGTGCTCTCACAGTAGGAGCATCTCCACACCATTATTATTTGAGCTTCAGTTTCACTTCAAGCTGCCAAACAAAGCTGGGAGCTCAGTGTCTCTTCCTGGCATTAGCATTCCACAGTCATACCAGCTTTAGCCTCACAATGGTGAGGATGAACAATTGGAAGCACTTTTGTATTGGATACAGCTGAATCACAGCTGATTTGTACTACTTATCCTTCACACTCACACTGAGAAAAATGTGCCTTTTTTACAATAACCTGGATAAAATGAAGGCAAACATGAACGCATATCGTCCAGCTACATCTACTGCATCACGGGCTTATGCATTATAAAAATATCCATTACCTTCCTGCCGTGTTGCACTAATCTTTTTACTTACACACGCACACACACACACACACACACACACACACACGCACACACACACACACACACAGGCTCACAGACAGAAAAGTTCAATGAATTATGGATTTGTGTATCAAAACATAAGCTGTGAGCTGTAGATGTCGAATGATATAAACATTTGGAATGAAACAGGCTTTGTGACAAAAGCAAACATTAAAGCCATGAAATTAAAAGTTTCTTATATATTGTTCTGATATAATATGTAATGTAGCTGCAGACCTAGAGGTAACTGTACGCATGTATGCATGTGTTTTAATTTTATATTAATTGAATAAGTATGGCCAAATAGTTACCATGGGAAGATTCTTAACAAATTCAATAGCAAAGAGCTCAAAACATGCCTCAATTCCTCTGTATGTTGCTTAATAAAGTACACCAATATAATATTATGATCATTGTTGAGTTTCTGCTGGAATTCAACAGAGGAATAGGTACGTCTTTCTGCTTCAGTAGTCTTGCATATCTTTGGCATTCTGCATGAATAAAAAGATGCCGACACATCAAACACCTTTACAAATTGGCACTGCATGAATAAAAAGATGCCGACACATCAAACACCTTTACAAACAAACAGGTGCCTTATCCAACCAAGGACAGGTGAATTTAAAATCATACATTTCTAACTTTTGTCCATCCATGTTGTCCCTCAAGTACTTTCTTTATAATTTTGTTCTTCCCTGAAAGGGACAATCTTGTGTTATAAGTCCGATCAACAAAACAAAGTATGCCTGGATTTGCTGTTGTACTACAGTAACAATTAGAAACCACCATCTCCAGCTTTCTTTGTGTCAACTTAAAATCACATTTACGACAGTAAACTTTACAATACACTACAGTACACTATTTTGACATTTTCTAACATAAGGAGACATTGATATCTGGGGCCTGGATCTCCTCCATACCTGCTTCATACCCTGGTGGACGGGGCTGTGGCTCCCCACACTCCCTAGCAGATCGTTACATGGAGAAACCTTTGGAATACAAGCATGCTGATCCACACAGGTGTACACACGGGTGTTCACAGACGCGGACTACACTTTCTTGGCTGCTGCCTCAAAGCACATTGTGCGCTGTCTATCTTGCGTGCTGCACAATATCGTTTATTATTTAGTATCTACTGTTATCTACTGCTAGCTAGTTTATTGTGATGGTGCTGTTTTTTTTTATTATGTTGCTCTTTGTTGTTTGCTTTCTCTTCTGTTTTTTTTCTCCATACAGGTGATCCAGGTGTTTTGTTTGTTTTTTTTTCTTTCTTCCCCCCCTTCTCACCGTCTCTTCTCCCCTTTGGTTTTCTTTCTCTCCCTCTCTTTCTTTCATTCTTTCTCCCTGTCCTATCCCCCAGTCATGTCTGTCCCGTTTGTAGCAACTGAAAATAAAAAAATTCAAATATCATAATTATAATAAAGGTCAATCAAATGGACCAATATGGCAAGGCCATGATGATCCACTTGGTAAAATAAATCCGCTTGGCATCTTTCTTGGCCTTAAGACAACAATTCTGATGGCTAAAGATCCAAACGGGACACAAAAAAACAAAAAAACAAAAAAAAAAAAACAAAAAACATAAAGGAGACATTACTTTTTAATTTCAGTCATGGCAGTTCATCTTTTTATGCCGTCTGTACTCGATGTAAGTCTTTTACACATAAGGTCAGAATTTTTAGGAGTATCCGCCTTTGTGCGGACATGGTAGACCACAAAAATCATCAGCCTCCAGTCTGGTCCAGGATAATTACTCTAAACTGAAAGGCCATCGATCAAAGAGCAAACGAGGCGAGCAAGGCTGCCTGTGACGCCTGACCCTCTCACAGGCCTAGAAATCAGAGGCTGTCCTGGCCTTGAAGCCTTCAGACATGAAATGCCCGATCAGACCGATGCATCCGACGTTGCCAAAGCAAACATCATCACTCAGCTTTTTATCTTACATTTAAACGTTGCACCAACTTTGCATCCAATTTAAACTATAAAGTAAACAACTCAATAAATAGACTAAAAATGTACTTAATAATGTGTAATAAAGTGAAGTGACTAAAGAGTCCTGTAGACCTGTAGAGAAAAAAAAAGAAAAAAAAAAGAAAAAGAAAGGAAACTCAGTCATAAAAGGCCTTGATCAGATTTTGTGCTATTGCAAAGTATCAAAGATAAGTTCTTCTGACGTTTCGTCTTATACACACAAACACCAAGGTCTGCGCATTGTAAACTTTGATGGTTAAGAAATGAAACTGGAGGTATTTTGTCAAAATCCTGCAAGTTTTGTAAATGCTTTGATTTCATGAAAATTTTGTGTGCAAGTTGTGTAAAAAGTGGCATATACCCACTCCACTAGAGCAAAGAACAATCCCATTTAGTATAGGCATGTAGGGGACGTAAACTGGTCCTACTGGTGCACTATAAAAATTAACCACTCTATTATTTCATACTTTTATGGCAGTAAATCTATTTCCCTACCGTGCTTAATCATCTGGGAAATCAGTTGCTAAGAACATCCCTAATGAAAAATCAGAGAAAATTATTTGAACAGCTGGGTCAGAAGACTGTTTAGAGACTCGTATTCCTGCCGTGCTACTTGCTGCCAATCACTTAATGATGCCAATTTAGTCATAAAGCACACTTTCATTGTTTCCTCCACTGCTTTTAGCACAGTCTTCAAAGATTCTTTTGTCAGAGTTCAAATGCATAACAAAATACTCAGCTTCACATTTAAAAACTGTTCTGAAAAAGCCTGTGGCTCATCAAGCAAACTAATAATGTACTGTGTCTCTTATAATAAGCTAAATGAAACAGTGAATAGGATGTAAAAATTAGAAGAGGGCCAATAGTAGCTGCAATTAACCACAGGAAAAAGACAGGAAGTTTATTCCATCTCTGAGTCACTATGGCAACCTTAACTTGCAAGTTCAAAAAAAGCGAACTT